TAGGGTTTAGGGATTCAGGGTCTAGGGTTCGCCAGGGAGTCCCCGGGTGCCCTTTAATAGAGCCCTTTAGGGTTTAGAGTTTAGGGCACTGCTTCTTCGTCGTCCTCGTCCTCGGCGCCGCCGCCTGCGAGTCCCTTGACATCCTGCCCGAGTACGCCTCCTGGCATGCGGCGACCTCTCGAGGCACATGTTTGGTTCGTGAGATCTGATGCCTCTGAAACCCTAAACCCTAAACCCTAAACCCTGAACCCTAAACCCTAAACCCTAAACCCTAAACCCTAAAGCCTCTAAAAGGTGGCCCGGCAGGCTTCGGGGGCTTCGGCGACTGGTTTGCTGGGGCGGAGCTGGTCGCGATCGCCGTCACCAGCCCCTCGTTGAGCATCGTTTGTATGCACTCTGCTATCTCTGCTCTGCCAAGCTGAAGTCGGCCCTCGGCATGCCAGCGGCAGCCCTATGACGCCGCCGAGGAGGCCGAGATTGAGCGTGGCCTCCTTTTGATGGGAGGCCGGCTTTGAAATCGCTGCTGCTCGGTTTGTCGGATTGCTTTGGCTCGGCGAGGTTCCAGGGAGGCCATCTCCGAGAATCACCATTGCAAGAAGGACCCAAGACACAGAAACACTCACGACCGAGCTGCCCAGGGTGCAAAGGGCGGAGTTCTCGGAGGCGGCAATGGTGTCCGCGGTGGCCCCTGCACTACCCATCACTACGCCGCCGCCCAGTATTATCCAGTGCCATCAGCCCACCTGTAGAAGTTCCTCCGGAGTTCCTTAACAGTGGAGGTGTTCGGAGGGTATCTGGCGTTCAGGGGTGAGGATGTAAAATTTCAGGTTGGAGGCCCACCGCCGGGGTTGATTCTGGGTTCCCTAGCAGTACCCTTTTGCCTGTTCCCTTATTAAACCCAAAACCCTAAACCCTAAACTGCAAATAGTCGGAACAAGTATAATTACCCGTATTCTTTTCGGGGCTACAGGGGAACCTCGGTTTATCGTTGTTTGGTCGGTCGTCTGTTGTCGGAGGTCAGTGTTGAGGGTTCAGGGTTTAGGGTTGAAGTTTTAGGGTGTGGGGCCGTTTAGGGTTCAGGGTTTCGGGTTGAAGGAGTTTTGCAGCGAAGTAGGGCCGTGGAAATCTTGCATGCAGGAATTCAAGTGTTCCCTAAGCCGTAAGCCCTAAAGCCCTCAGCCTTGAACCTTAAAGGGAAGCCCAAGCCCTGACCCCTGGACCCTTAAAGCCCTGAAGCCTAAAGCCCCGCCCCAGGGTCTAGAACATTTTCAGGTGGGTAGTTACCGTTTTAGGAGCCTTATATATACCTGATAGAAGCCTTATCGAAGCCCTATATACCCTAAACTCCCCACCTTGAGGTGTCCCGGGTGCGTCAGAGAGTCCTGGGCATGAAGCGGAAGGCCGGCTCTTGCGGGGCTTGAAAAATCGGGTTTTCGGGTTTAGGGTTTGGGGCTTTAGGGGTTTAGGGTTTCGGGGTTTCGGGATTTCGGGTTTAGGGTTTAGGGTTTAGGGTTTACGTTTAGGGTTTAGGGTTTTCCCAAGGGTCCAAGTAGAAATATGGTAGCTACTTTGTAGGTCTTTGGGCTCAAAGGTGTATACTATACTATAACTTGGAGCCTTTGGGTTTGGGAGGCACGATTTAGGGTTTAGGGGCTTTATTAAGGGCTTTTGGGGATGTAGGGTTTAGGGTTCAGGGGTTTAGGGGTGTTGGGGTGGAGGAGTGCGGGGTTTGAGGTTTTGGGAAGTATATGGCTTAGGGTTTAAGGCTTGAGAGGATACATAAGGTTTACCCTGGGGCTCCAAAAAGCCCAAAGTAGGTACTATTTACAGACTTTAGACCCCAAAGTATAGGTTCTATTTGTAAACTTGGAGCCTTAGGGTTATGAAGGCTTTATTGGGTGTTTGGACTGCTCATTCCAATAAGTCATGAGTATGGTGTCGCTGGTATGATTTACTCCGAATCCCTATCCCAGTCATCAATGCTCCAAAACTATGTGTGGGTTTCCAAAAATAGGGGACCCTAATATAGCACCCTAAATAATAGGATCCTTATTATAAGGACCCCCAAAATAAGGTATCCCAAATTTTCGGAAAGTCCCATGTGTGGTAGGGTTTGTATGAAAGGCCCTGGGTTTGATGTTTTAGGTGGTCATCCACAACGGCAAACTTCATGGCTTCGCGGTTAGGTGGAACAGCACGCGCATATGTGAATGGTGAGACTGAGCTGGTGTCGGGATGTGCCGTATTTGTTTGAGTTACCATTTTCGGTAATGAAAACCCTAAACCCTAGACCCTAAACCCTGAACAACATGCACCGACTTAGACCAGCTGACAGAGCAGAAAGGAAAAGCTGGAGCTCAGAAAACTACTAGCATTGGGAGTTACCTCGAGGTTCATGAAGTCTGCAGTTTCCACCAGGTAACCTGAACAGACAAACTGCTTCAAACCCAACTGCTGAGAGTTGAGAGGACTCTGCACTCTAAGGTTGATTGTGAAGTCACGAAAACCGCAAAGCCTCGTGATCGGCACGTGCATTCTATACATCATCCGGTCAAATCGGTAACTTTGCTTGGTCTTCCTTTCTCAGAGCTCAACGATCCAGAAGTTGGAACGTTTTCTGCCATTAACAGAAGCCGCGACAGTGGGCGGACGGAAGAACTTTGCCATTAGCCTGCCTGAAGCCCCACACCTTACAAACTCCAGATTGCAAGCCAATATTCATAGAGTAGGATTTTGGAAAACTCGAAAAGCAAGTCACTGTGCTCCCCTGACTTCCTCTAAAACATTTATCACAGAGTATACCCCAGAACCCTTTCCTAAGGAGTAATCACACGCTGAACCCCCTAAACCCTAAACCCTAAAGCCTAAAGCCTGAACCCTAAAGCCTGAACCCCACATGAACCCCAACTAAACTCGTACACAACTCGACAAGTTAAGACTTCTTACAGTCGACCCGAAACTCCAAGCCCTCAGAATGAGCCCACAGAGAAAGCACAAGGGAGCGCAGGAGCGCTACACTAGGGTTTAGGGTTTAGGGTTTAGGGTTTGGGGTTTAGGGTTTAGAGTTTAGCGTTTAGGGCTTAGGGTCTAGGGTTTAGGGTTTAGGCTACCCTCGAAGCTAGTACTGTCGCCTTGTTGAGCTGTAGGCAGCTGGGCATCATGTGCAAGAGAAGTGCAAGGTGGGTCTTGGTCCTTGTTGTTTGCAGGTGTTTAGGGTTTAGGGGTTGAGGGGTTTAAGGCTTTTAGGGGCTTGGTGGTTTAGGTATAGGGTTTGTTTTGGGCCGTTTTGGGGTAAGTTTTGGGTTGTTTGTTGATAGGGTTTTGGATTGTTTTAAGGGTTCGATAGGGTTCTACCAGGGGTTGCTTACTACTCTGTCCAATGTCGCGATTTTCCACGCTTGCCTCCATCTGTCTCGCTTCATGCGGGAACGGTTCGAGGTCTTCCGTGGTGTAGTAGGGCTCATAAGTTTATAGCAAAGCAAGTTGGGCTTCGCGGTGTGTTGTGAAGGTCTACCTGCTAAACCTGTGGATCTCGTAAAGTATCTACTTCTTGGCAGCTATACCCCACAGAGTCCCTCTAGGCACAGACATAGGCTTTCAGCATGCGGCCGTAGGCTCCTAAACCCTAAACCCTAAACGCTAACCCATCTTGAGCAGGATGGTTGAGTCGTCAAGTCTTGTTGAGGGCAAACTTTCTCATTTTGGTGTCGGATCTTTCGCGCAAGCTCATCCTTTTAAACCCAAAACCCTAAACCCTAATCCCCTATGGTGTGGGCAGAGGATTAGTTGTGAGGGCCGGAGAGCTTAGGGGCATTCTAGACTAGGATTGTCTTCTGAGAAAAACCCACTGTGAAGGAGCGCAGGAGTTCAACATGACTGACTGATGTCGGATTTCGCATCATGTCATGCATTCCCGCGTGTAAGCACAAATCCAAAACCTTGTACTCCGAACCTTAAACCCTCAATCCTACCCGCCGCAGTACAGTCCCCGTATACCACCTCTTGCAGTGACCAATGGAGTCCTTGCTTGCACAGCAAGCCTTATTGTAACCCTACCTGCAGCCCCAAACCCTACAAAATGGTAGGTATGACCCCTTAATCATAGGGTATAGAGCCCGAAAGCAGTGGGTTTTGGATCCGCAGGTAAGCCCTCAACCCTAAACCCTATAGACCCTAACCCCTAAAACCCTAAACCCTCAACCCCTAAACCCCTCAACTCCTAAACCCTAGACCCTAAGCTAAACCCAGGGGTAAGGGCGCATGGGTTTCCTCACACCATGGCAAAGGTCCGCGGCGCACAGCAGCGGCTTCGAGGAAAGCAGTGCTCCGAGGCGTTCCCGCTCCCCGGCGCTGAGGAGGCATCATCATCATCATCATATATATATATACATAATATATATATATATATATGATAGAAAATATAAAAGTAATGTAATATAATATGTATATAACAATCACACACACACATCTCTATAAATATGTATATATATATATACACCGTATATATATATATATATTATATATATATATATATGTATTTATTCTATTGGGGTCGGAGTAAGCACCAGTACTTATATCCCTTAGGGTTCCTTAAACGAGAGTTCAGGGTTCATGGATTATGGATTAAGGGTTTAAAGTATGGGTGGGTTCGGGTTTTAGGGACCGCGGTTTCGGGTTCTGTTTAGGGTATACCTAGACCCCAAATGACCTACCTGTTTAAGGACTTACATAAGGAAATCATCATAGGGAGCCCTAAAAGGAAGACCCCACTCTAAACCCCAAACCCTAAACCGAGGGTTTGTTGGGTCATGGAGGGTTGGGAGGGCTTTTAGGGCATTTCAGCCGTTAGCGTTTCGTGTTCAGGGCGTCGTGAGTGTAGACAGGACCTTTGATGTCATGTCTTGTCAGGGAGTGTATGTTTGCAGTATATACGTATACAGTCTCGAGTAGTTTAATTTCGATGTCATGTGGTATCATATCCCCAAACCCTAAACCCTAAACCCTAAACCCTAAACCCTAAACCCTAATTGTATCTGTACCCATAGGCCCCATAGGAGTTCCTGTGGCTCATAGTTAGGATCCTACAAGGTAATCCCCGAAAGGAGCTACTATGGGGCCTATGGGTATACACACATACACACATCATGCGCTAATCTAAACCCTAAACCCTAAACCCACGTAGATCCCCAAGCAGTGAAAGAGTTCCACGACGACAGCCAGGAGACAACGAGGAGACCACGGGGAATCCACTTAGCAGACCATCAAGAGACCCGCGACGGTTTAGGGTTTAGGGTTTAGGGGTTTAGGGGTTTAGGGTTTAGGGCTTAGGGGTTTAGGGTTTAGGTTTTTAGGGTTTAGGGTTTAGGGACCCTTTATGGGGGGTAGGGGGAAGGGGGTAGGGGGCCTTATTACCTGTAATAAGGACCTACGGAGGCCTATTTAAGGAAGTAGAGTGCCCTACCCCCCTCTCACTTACCCCCCTAAGGGTCCCGATGATGCCAGCTTGTCAGGCTCAGGTCTTTGAGGCTTTGGCGCAGTGCTTTTCCTGAATATAATGTAGGGGCCCATTTAATTACCTATACTATTTCGGGGGCTTCCTTATTATGATTATAGTATAATGGGCCCCAAAACCCTATTCTAATTATTAAGGCCCTGATATCAGCTGCCTTGCGTTGCTCTTC